ATCTCAAATTTATGTTGTGTGACTATATAATTTTAAAGTACTTCGTATAATAAAAATGAGTTTTACAATTGCGAATTTCTTGTTTTTGTATTACAATATATATAAAAAATAATTCTTTCGTATATCAATATAAAGAAGATTGCCTGGTTAAAATTTAATCTCGATAACATAAGTATTCATAAAGTTTTAATATAAGCAACCAAAATTATATGATGTTTTTTAGCTAATTTACATTATCTTTAACAAAACAATTTTTCTATTAGGATATTAAAAGTAATTATATTATTAGATGCAACATATTGAGAAGGTTATTCAGTTGAAATTTAATCTCGATAACGCAAGTATTAGTGAAGGTTTAATATAAAAGTATTTTCGTTTAAATTAAGAGATTTTAAATAGTAACCTCGCTTTATTTAAAAAAAAAACTATTTTTCCAATACAATCACAGATGAGACTCTACTACTAGACATATAACCAAGCATAGATTGTTTGTTTAAACATGTGCCATACATCAATACCTGCGGAGTTTACTAATATTAAAGAGGTATTTATTTATGGTATTATTAACTACTTATTAAACTATTTATATATATAATTTAATTACAAATAAATAATTTATTACTCCATTGTAAATAAAGGCTATTGTTTATATTACAAATTTAAGAAGCAGGTAGATGTAACGTTCTTATTCATATCTATCTATTAATACTTGTTTTTATTAATAGTTATATATGCAACTAATTATCCGTAGAATAATATGGTAAATGGACATGGACATACTGACATATTAATAATAAATATTATTACTTAATAATCAATTCATAAATAGAATATTTCTTCGAAAGATTTAACTTTCTCTAATGTAGTGGCATCAGATGTAATAATGGCACATTAAAAGCAGTAGTAGCACTAGCAGTAACAGTAACAATAGCAGTAGAACAAGAATGAGATGACAGTGGTAGTGGTAGTGGTAGTGGTAATATAGGAATAAGCTCTCGTGTGTGTATATTATATATATTATATATACACATTAAATTTTTTGTTCGCTGTGATCAACGTTACACGTTCCATATAAATCTTGATTTTCCTTAAACTTTTCTAATTTTGGTAAAAACCTAAATTTTATTTTGTCACATTTTATATCCAATAAAATCAAACTTCCACCATGCTGACATTGGTATTACCAAGAATTTCAGGGATCAAAATTTAGCTATTATCATCATAATTAGTTTTATAATGTCCCATTTGTTAAGTGATATATAGAACCTATATAAAAATAGTTAATATGAAGCTAATTTACATCAGATCTACTATGGAACCCAAAAATTATAGCACTATTAGAAGTATTTTGAAGAAAGAACAAGGAGAAAAAATTGCTCCTTATATTTTCAAAATAAATGATGCTCAGACACTGGAAACTTATCTAAGAAAAGAAAGGATTACTTTTGAAACTTATCAAGAAGAAAGAAAAACAATAAATGTTAGAAAAGAAAGCAGAATGATGATGCATTATTACCTAATAAAAGCAAAAATCTCTAAAAGGAAAATAACTACCATTTTCTTTGATAATTGAAATGAATTTCAATTTATACAGAGGGAAATTTCCTCAATTACTTTTTTATTTTCAATCAAGATCATCTTCTAGTCTCTTTGACTTCAATTTAAGCAGTTGATTGACCATTCTGTTGATCTTTTAATTTCCTGTTTTCCTCTTCTAGTTGTTTAATTCTTTCTTCTAAACCCCTTTACCTTATCTAATAACTCCTGTTTTTGCTTTTTACTTCACTCTTCAGATTTTTCCTGAAACTTGGCTACTTCTTCTCTTTTGATTTTAACTCTTCTTTAGCAGTTGATAACTCTTTTTCTAGCTCTCTATTTTCTTTTCTAAACAAGAACTGAATGCTTGTGAAAGTAATTCTTTATCAGAAATTTGCTTAGTTAATTTAGCTTTTAAATGACTACAAAGGCACCTATTTCTATTTCTATTTAACCTACCACACTTTTCACATCATGAAAGAGTATTATTATCATAATCTTTTTTATATTCGCCACAAATAAAAACTATGTCAGCGTAACCATCAGGAGTATTACGACCCACCATTTGATGAGTAGCAGGAGCAGTATTAAGGCTGAAATTAGTTGGATTGTCAAAATCTAGAAAGCAAAAATTACATTCTTGTTCATCATCCTTTGCTATTTCCAATACTCTATATTCTAACTTCATACAATTATTTATTTTTCTGGATAATGAAAGTTTGGAACTTCTCTTTAGCCTTTTCTTTTACTTTGCTTACTAATTTTTTGAGTTTGTGTAGCCTATTTTCTTTTTGTTGTTTTTGTAAAGCTGGTAATTCTTTCTTTTCTAAATAAACCCTTTGGTTTATTTCCTGATTCTTAGCCACCAAATTATTTTCCAACAAGTCTATTCAGTCTAGAAGTTTGCCCATTGCAGCATCATGCCTCAAAACTGTTTCAAACATTTGACACTTTCTCCACTTCATAGCTGTATTTAGTGCTTTCTCAGCTTCTTCACATTCCATTCATACTTCATCTTCTAATTCTTCTATTCTGTTTTCTTGCTCTTTAATCTCAGTTTCTAACCCCTCGATTTTCTTTTCAAACTCTTTCCTTTGCCTAATGTTTTCATAAACTCATTCACTTTACCAAGGAATATACTTAGAGCAAGTTTCACCTAAATCTTTTGAACTATCAATAAATTCCTCTAACATTTCTTCAATTGTGATGTTGTCATATCAAACTCTTACAATTTTTGGCTCATTCCCTCATTTCATTAGGATCTACTGCCATTCTTAACTTACCTTCCTCTAATCACTTTTTGTTTAGTTTCTTATATCATCAATGACCAGGGACATAACTACTTTCATCAGGTTGACCAGTAAGGTGTCAAATTTTTAGTTTTAGATTTTCAATTTCTTGTTTTCTTTTTTTGTTGATATTGCTGATTTCTTCTAATAGCTGTTTATTTTTCTGTTTAAGTTCATTTATTATGTTTGTCATGATTTTTCTTGTTTAATTATTTTTTTTTATTTATTCTTTTAATATACTTATATCCTTTTTATGAGGGCATATTAAGTATATAAATTATTTTAGTACTTTTTTATTTTAAAAGTGGAAAAAGCTAACAAACATTTGTCAAAAGATTAAACTTAATGACAGTAAGGGGACAAATCAACTAGTGATAAAGTTATGGAGGTAATTTTGTTATAAATATTTTATTCACTTCCAGTATAGATTGGTCTTGGGCAAGTAATATATTTGAATTTATCTCTAACAAATGGATGAATATTATGATAAAAATATTCTTGCCTTTTGTAGTCCAAAGGAGGTGGTGTCAATACTAAAATAGATAAAGCTTTAATTTCTTCAAAAATATCTGTTTTCCTAGTTTTTAA